TGAAGAACTTCTTGGACTTCACAACGACTAAAATGTATGCAATAGCATTCCTAAAAGGAGAACAATTTTAAAAAGCCATAAAATTGAAGGTGTACATCTGTATCAAGAACACTCCCCCTTATTGTCATATGGTGTAAGCACCCCCACACACACCCACACACATTCCCCATCCCCCATTTTGTGGGCACAAATTAACGCTAATGCTGTGAAGCATAGCTCAGCGAGGCCTGGGGCTGGGTCTTAACTTTCAAATCGGATTATATAGTGTTTTCCGCAGCTTAATTTGCTCCATTGAACGCGGCGTTTCCAGGAAGATTTAACAATTATGAGCTGTTTTCATCTGCATCATCCGCTAAAATAACGTCGCAGCTAAAGAATTCCTCCATGTCTGTACTTGCAGAGACCCCATCCAAGGCTGCGTCTGTATCAATTATCTGCATTTTGAAATGACACGACTCCATAGGAACTGGCTGCGGCCACTGCCATAGAAGCGCTGAGTAAATGATCGGACATGACCAAACAATATCTCGGCTGCAATGAAATTGACTTCTCAGGTTATTATTATAAAACAACGTACATTTTAGTATACCATAGAGCTCTATGAGTATACAAACCAACGGGCGAGACCTCTGCATGCAGTGCACCAATATAAAAGCGTAAACACAGTTCCATACAAGACACGCAATTGTGAAAGTTTATCGTTGCAATGAAGCCATGTCTCTTCACACTTGACTGCCTCTATCCCGCGTTCGATTCAGACAATTAAGAATGTGATCCCGTGAGGTGTCAGTCAATGATACGACGGAAATAACTTATTAAACGGAGGCTCAACTGAAGCATCCCTCGCTACAAGGGCAACAACCTTATACTTGCCGGAGGTAAACTAGACGATTTGCCTCAATAAGGATTTGGCGGTTAATTGTGAAACAGAAGGCGTGCTTGCCAGCAATGATACCAGCTGACGGAAAGAGGACAGAATGCTTTCAGGAAAGCCAGGCCTAAAAGGGGCTTCTAGAACTATTTCCGGCGTGCGTCAGCGTATTTGCTATAGTGAGAGACCTATTTCTTGACAACAGATTCAGACGTAGCCTTTAATCTTCAAGTTGGCAAGAGCACGCATTGGCAGAGGAAAGCAAAGCAGTAATACTCTCCAATAAACAAAATCAAACGAACCATCATGAAAATTAAAAAAGAAAAAACATTTCGTAAGTCTTTCCTACATTGAAAACGACGCACTGCACACGCCGTTGTCTCGCTGTCCCACTTTGAAATTTGAGTAACTATTTCCATTATGCCGAGAATGCTCGATTATTAACCACACTGCTCATATTCACTCGTCCCAAACGCTCTTTCAGGGTGCTGGAAAGGGCGAAGTAACGCATTTTGTCAATCACTGGATAGAATTTATATGAATAACAACACAGGTTCAAACTTCCCCATGTGCTTGACTTTACAGGCGCTGAGAGGACATCAAGAATCCAACTTTGCGTGTTCATAGTGTGAAAGTGGTAAGTGTTAAACTTAATCTTTCAGCAACTGTGTACTCTTCTTCAATGTGTGAAATTCATTTGAAATCCGTTTTGAGATTAAAAAAAATAAAAAAGTGCAATTTTTAAAAAATGAAAAATTGTCCATGCTTGCCTGGACAATTGAGATTACTGTTGCTGTAAAATCTTCCAGAGAAGACATGGTTAAATGCATAGGATTTTCTTTTCGCAGTGGGAACCAAAAATTAATTCAGTGCAATTATTACTGAGAAAGGGTTGTATGATTGCTTATTGTTTTGTACATACACAACGATGATTCCTCCAAGAAAAGAAATTTTAGGCTAGCAAAATCTGAGAAATGCAGTATTTTTGGTGCACAAACCAATGCAACACGGAAATTCTCTTCCCGGGATGACATCACATTTTTGCTGATGAATATGGAAATATTCATCACCATAAAACCAAAAAAGCATCAAAACACCCTTTGAAATAGTGAAACAAAAGTTGAAAATCAGTTAACCGAGATGTAAAGGTGCACTTTGAAGGTCTATAATTTTTTGTTTAATTGCATTGCTGCTACTCTTTAAGATTTTGTGAAAATGTAAAGCAGTATTTCTTGAAAGAGGAGATTGTTTGGCCCCCAAAATGGTGAGATTGTGTAAATCGTTGCCATGATCAACTCCCTGGGTCTTTGAGCTTTCACACAAGAGCAGAATATCTAAACACTACGGTTGCAAAATGGTCATAAGTGTCCGAGAAAGTTGAGGGTTGCCACTTGAAAAATTGCTACGGAAAAAAAATCACTTTTCGGGGGTGATTTTGTTTTGTGGGAATAATTAAAAATGTAACTGGTTACCTCACAAAAAATTGAAAAGAAATTGAAAGTTAAGGACCAGACAATAATTTAATGTGTGTTTCAGAAATCTCAGGGATGTTGGTATGCATGTTATTGGGCCCTGAACAGTGCTGATTATACTCTCTTTTCAATGAGGCTTGAATTTGTGGACTGTACCCTTCAGGCTCAGTGAAAGGAAACCAGGATGTAGCTGGCCATCTTCTCAGCCAAGAAGCTTCGTCCAGTCCGTGCCTGTGGCACAAATCTGACTATGTGAAGAGGTCATGGGCACTGAAAGACGATAATAGTGACCTCCGAGAGACAACATCAGGAGGGGAAGCAGCCGATGTCTATTTCGATCACAACAATGACACGGAACTACACCCAGACAAATATAAATGCCAACACCGGAATTGAGCAGAAAGAGCTTTTTACTTGCACGGTGTAGCATCGGACGCAAAAGTGTCGGTGGATACTTCACATTATCGTGTCGTAAGGCCGAATGCACCAGCACTCTGGCTGCAAATTACCATGGGGACTCAGGCTCAGACAGCTTATACCCACGCACGATCTGCATTTGCACAAACTTGAATCTACTTAAATCACGTGGGAAATCTATAATAAATGGGAGGGGGGGTCAACGGCGTTGAGGCTTAACCTAATGCTTCTTTAAACTGTGAATAGACCTTGCTCACATTGCCATTGCCGATACTGTTCGTGTCGGAGTGGCAAAAGTTTGTGTTGGGTTTTGGATTCAATACGCACATTTACTGGGCCTACTTTTATAACCGGGTGTGTGGCTTCATTTAATAACATTAAAGACTTCTATGATCGAGTTCGACACTTCTGTTCTCTTTCTTTGGTACTACCACGGTCAGTATATACAGGGGACAATGTACTGTAACCTAGCAAGAGAGATATGCTCGCTGCCGTTTCTCACATCATACTTTGGAAGCTGTTGTGTTGACCTGTCGTGCTCTCCACCAGTAAGCTGGCGTGCAATTTCAATCAACTAAAAGCCGGGACAATGACTCTGAATCATGGGCGTAAATCCCAGGGGATGGGATGGGGTTGATTGCCAAGTGCTGCCGGTGCACCAGAGGCCAATTTGGATTTTGTCGACAACTGGTCGATTTTCCATGGTAATCTGTGCCCAGAATATATCCTGGGTACCAGGCACAATCGACCAATGTTTGGCTAGTTGTCGTCAATCGAATCATGTTTTCCTTCCTCCATGATCGAATTCACCCAAAGTATAACAATCTTTTGTACAGTTCAGCTACCCGGCTTTTAAGTTATTGTCATAAATGCGTCGGGCATTTTAGAAACGGTGCTAGCGTCTTTTTATGGGATTGGGGTTGAAACTATTACTTAGATGCAACAAACTGCTTAGACAATCATTGTTTTAAAAATTCCACCCCGTCGAGTTGAAGTACACCCTCACCGGCAAAGAAAGGACAGGCCAGTGGGAAGTTTTTCAACCGGGCCCATAACCTAGCACACCGTCACGCAAAGATTGAAACCATTATAGTATAATTTCGAATTGAAAACAAACAAACAACCCAACAAACAACCCAACAACCCGACAAACAACAAAATAAAATATCTGCGTGCGAACAGGATGGCCTAGTAGTAATGGCTTCTACTTTTGGTCGTCGAATTATCTGATTATCAGACGCCATAACTGCGGAGGCACCGTACTAACACGCACATTCTTGAGCCTGACGCGCGCGTGCATTTGGCAAACGACACTCTTTGGGTCAAATGTCATAACACGCGCGTACCCCCGTCCGTGAGCGTTGCGCCACCGCATTAATGACTTCTAAATAATGCTAGTACCGAATGACGTCTGTAATGGAGACTGTACGTACGGGACAGAAATCAGTATACTCCGACTGAATTCATGGCCCTATCGATTCTTGCGCTTTTTGCAAATCGTGGCAGGAAAGTTTGCATGTCGACAGTAATTTTACATGAAGTCACAGCTGGCATGATTAACTCTGCCTCAACACTAGCAGGCAAACTAATCCCTACAACAGCTCAATAAATTTTAATAATGTTGGGCTTTGGTAATGCTGAGGATTGGAAATTTTGTAATACTGAGAAAAACCATCCGTGACAATACTGCCCACTGGGAGGTATTTTTTACTATAAAAGATCCAATTCCTAATTGGGAGAGGAATCAGGAAACGAAGCCAATAAAGAGTGGTTTGAACTGGTGTACTATGTATGATGAAGGCGCAAGTAATGCCAAACACAGAGCATACAAGTTGTCGACACAGTTAAGTAGGCCTAACCCAATGAACAAAATGTCTGGCTTACAGTGTCTTTCATGGCAAGATATTTCCGCCTAACGGGACCTAATTATTTACACTTTCATTCAAATAACAAGCGGGTGGGGCAAGTGGGGAAAGGAAGGAGAGAAAAGACAAAGATCAGACTTAAAATAAACAAACAAATAGAAAATTATTTTTAATTCAGTTGTAGTTTAGCATTTAAAGGTAAAGTTTGATTTATTGAACTGTTACATGTATTTATATCTTTTATATGAAACAGCCGTTGGTTTTGATCTGCCACTCCAGCTGTTACCACAAATCACTTCAGTCGACGGAAAATCGATAGTTTGGATAATTTTGAATCAGTGCAGACAAAACAAGAGTTCATGCTTTCACTGAACGAACGAAATTGCGTAAAATACATTATTTGGAACAAGTCTTGTATATCGGCATAAAAAGAAATTGGACCCCAATTTATGTTGAATCAAGTGCAATTAATGCACCGAACAAAACACATTTAAAATGTAAATTCGAGTTTTTGCCCAATGAAACTATTTGTTTCAGCATGTTCCTACTTTTGACATGATCGCGAATTTTTCTTGGTTAAAGTTAAGAAACTGTTGTTTGTTCTCTTCATTAAATTAAAGCTTTTGCCCACTCAAACGAAGTGATCCAGCGTGTACGCTAGACGTGCACTTGGTGGTGGTTATTTCTGCAGTACTCTATCGAAGCAAGAAAATCTGGCAAGGTCACCAACTACACGTTAGCCTACGAAAACTCTCGGGAATCGTCTATTTCGACGATGGCGGGGCCGGGGACCAACTCAGCCTTCGTCTACTTCACATTCTTTATATCACTGTCAACATTTTTTGACAGCAAGGTAAGATGAGTTAAAAGGTATATGCTGTATTGTTTTTCCTTCTAATGCAATTCACCTGTTGATAACTGCATATGTGAAGCTGGGCCTGATGGTTGGTTAAAGTTGTCCAGTTTCTGGACAAAGCTGTGTAGGCCTACTCCAAGCATGCTCCAAGCAATAGCACGCACGCTTGGTCACCGCACATTAATGTTGTCAATGTTGTTAGGCGATTGGCTCTTCTTCTGCCAAACTTACATACATGTACGTCTACGACTTACCGTACCTACACAACTGGGCTGTCACGCTGTGTTACTTGGACTAGTCGATCAAGTAAACTCTCCCACTTTACTTCCCTTTATGAATTCCATTCACTGACACCAAGCACCAACTGACCAAATTGAACCGATAGGCCTGCATGCATTACCATGTAGGCCCAGCATGATTAGTTAAATACCAACCATGATTACCGTAAAGTGGCATAACTACAGGAGGGGGGCATGTGCCCCCAATGGAGGCCCGTGCCCTCCTGGGTGCCCCCCCTCTTTGAAATGTTGAAATGAACAAAAATATATATTACAATATATAGGCCTATATACACATGTACATATAATACCAATTATTTTCAGTGCCCCCCACGAAAAAATGTGCCCCCCACCAGGTGCCCCTCAGCTGTAGCACCCTAGTTACACCACAGTTACTGTGCCAAGGACATGAAGGACTTTGAGTGACCTAGTCATACTACAGTGTAGGCAAAATCCCAAGAGGATGTTCCATGTACATGTTGTATGGAATATAGCCTGGTACACGTTATCAACCAAAGAAAAGTTGTATCCACAGATGTCACTTGACACCCCATGCACAAACACCATGAGACTGGTCTGAAAAATTTGATGTGTTTTCTAAGTAAACGACATGTTTTTTCCCTCTCTCATATACATGTAAATTGAACTTTTCTGGACTTTTTTTGCTTTCTGAAGGCTGTCGCCTTAAGTGTAAGGAATAATTACTGGCATCCGTATTCATGTACATGGTATATGGAACTCTTCCCCTACCAAGTACCAAGTGCTGGTAGGTGCTAAGACAGTCTATGTGGCTTCACCAAATGATCCTATGGATGAGTAGACTAAAAGGTGCTTGCCCCCAGCAGAACATGAGGGCTAAGCCCGGAGACTTGGCTTGGGCAGTTTGGATTTTTTTAAAATTCTACCCGGAAAAAGTCACAAAATTATCCTTTTATTTATTAAAAAACAGAATCATACATTACACGTGCAAACTGTATGAGACATACTCGTGGATTTCATTTTACTTTCGTGGCTGTGGAAAAACACATTTTCAAGAGAAGTAGGCCTACCTGTATAGTCCAAAATTGCATAAATTGCATTTCAGATGCATGTATGTACATGCAGGTCGAAATTCCATCTTGTTACAATGTAAGCAGGAAAGAGGAACTTTGTTAGACCCCTAAGGAAATCAAAGCTAGACAGCGTCTGTACCAGTGTCATCATGGTCATTGCTTTGTTGAGATCATGTGAAGAAGCTACAAATTTACCTCAAGTGTATTTCAGCTGTGCCCCTTGTTCCCTTCTCAGATTCATTCAACAACTCCAACCAACAGATTTTGGAAGAATGATAGGATTGAGTAAGAAAGCGCCTAACACATACCGGTAGGGCTTGATGCCACTTCAGAAACAAACAAAAAATAGAGTGATTGATTTCCTGAACAGAGGAGGATAGTCAGAACAGTTCTGGAAGGAAGAAAAAACTTCTAGGAGTACAGTACATGTACACACGTACATGTACTTTTGCGTGTATACTGTTTACAGTGTTCTTGTGCAGGTAGCTCTGAGGGTCCAATTTTCATGTTATTTAATGTTATGTAATACCAGTTAATGTTATTTTTCTTTTCTTTTAATAACTTGTTTGGATTAGCACCTTGCCAAAGGATTTGTTGAACATCGTAATCTGCACGCTCCACACCACCGTGACTTCCTTCCAAATGAACACAATAAGCTGCATAGCGATGCCCTAAAGCGTTCTCAGAGTACATTCTCTGTGGTCATTGACCCCATCAAGCCACACCTAAGCTCATTCATTCACCTCATTAATCCTGTGGAAGTTTTTGACCATACACACCATGCACACATTGAGTATTCCTGCAGCGAAGGTGATCTCATCGCAGCTCAGATCTTTCTTCAGTCAGACGACATTCCAGAAAGTCCACTCAGGGTCTTCCACCAGGATTGGACATGTAATCGCTACTCAAGCGGCACACGCCATGCCTACGTACATCTCACACTGCCTGATTGGTTGGCCTATCGTCCGGATAACTTGCAGCCAGTGGCTGTCAATGTAATCAGCCTGGAGTTAAAAATCTGGATTATTAGCAAACACCAGATTGTAAGCTGTGTCCGATGGAGTGATTTGAATTGTCATGACAGGGCGCATGTCAAAGGGGTGTATCCGATGAAGATGGTTGCAGTGTATCGTCGACAGAGGAGGAATTATGATTCTGATGTTTGCTTATCTTTTGATTCTTGGATCAAACTGCATTTCCTTAATGAAAATGAATTCCTCCAAAGTGAACTGGAAGAAGGTAAATGATCTCCCAGAGTTTGTTTTTGTTATGTTTGTGTGTTTTACGTCAACATTTCTCGTATTACGGAGGAAACCTGAAAACATTTTATCCACTTTAATCTATTTCTTTTGGCTGTTTTCCCCAAAATGCCATCACATTTAGTGTGCCTTGGGATTTGAGCCCTCCACTTTGAAGACCAATCAGTGACTGTTTTTTAACCTCAACCCTCCCTGATACATGCATTTCTTAATTAGCCTGATTTTTCTCCAAGAGTTGCCAGGATTTAAGGAAATAGGCTAGAATTCATTTTCAAAGTATCATGATCAGGGTCTTGCCTTGGTTTTAATGAAACATACAGTTCATGTGTCATTGGTTTACAATAGGAAATTTGAAATGGAGTTGCGGGTAAATTTAGTGTGGGGGTTCCTGGTTGAGATAAATCAGTCTCCCAGGCACCGAACATGCAGAAGTTATCTGTACAGCTGAATCTTTTTTTTTTTCACAATTTTATTAAGAGCAGTCATGGCAGTACTTCTTTAAAATCCCTCCCCACACCGATTTTCCATTTCCATGAAACCAGTGACGATGTGATGGGACATCATGGCAAGATTTCCTCAACAACTCTGCCAATTACGATTCTTGGACTTTGCCCCTGCTTACACATGTATCTTTAGTCACTGCCTGAAGCCTTCCTTACATGTACTGTCTTGTATGCTAGTGACACCAAAGAAACCAGTTCACTTTGATCCCAAATTGTCTGCCAAAGGAATCTTGGTTATTCTATAAATTTGGGGCTGGATGTGTGACATTTTTCTGTCCTTGTTACACCAAGGGATATCATTGCTATTGACTTCAAACTATTTTTAGTTGCTTGCACACTGAATTGCATAACTTAAATCATTCTTGGAGATGAAAGAATGTGCTCTAAGCTTAAAAATCCATATGTACGCTAACAGGGACAGGTAATTAATGAATAACTCGTCTAAAATTCAAATCCCAACTGCCGAAATTGTGGTCTTAAATACAAAGAGCCAAATGTACACTGTACATGTAGGTAGGACAAATGGTAGGCTTCTACTCACAATACAAGGGGAGAACAGGTCAGGTTCTCTCATTTTGTTGAATGCTCTGCCGTTTTGGTTTACAGAGATTTTACAGTTGGTTGATTTCCCAGTAGCTCTTGCTAATGCTTATGGTGGAATCACAAAGGATGTGCCTCCATTCCAAGAGATTGGATTGATTAATGAGCAACACAGAAACAGGTTCAACCCAAAGTGAGTATTTCCAGGAACTTTGTGATTGAATGTTAAATTACAGCCACTTTGATTGGAATTGTACAAAGGGTACATGTACATATACTATTACATGTATGTGATGTTGAGATGAAGACTTCATTCCTGACAACCATTCCATTTCTACTTCTGATCAATCAGAACATCTGCTTTCCATTAATACCATTTATTTATTTATTGAAACACATGGACCAGTTAATGGAAATGAAGTGCCAACATGTACATGTACTCTACATGTACCCTTGGTATACATGTATTTAGAAAGGAATCAAAGTTTCACATGTACATGTACACATACACATGTGTGCATGCTCACGTGCATGTGCATGTACACATGTGGAGCCCTGCTGAAAACATACACTACAGATGATTATATAGTACATGTATGTTTGATTTAAGTTTCTGAATTCTCTTCACAACTACACAGTACATGCAGGTTTGTTGAAAGACATGATAGAGCTGGTTGGATTGTGGCCATCATTTCCATACCGTACCTGTACCCAGAGGACTTACATGTACATGTACATGTGTTAAAGAGAGCCACAGATGTGTAAAAAGGACCCAGATTTTTGTACCAAATACACGTACAATGTATGTACATACAATGTAGATGTTTCACCATGCGGATTATTTATCCATGCTTATTATTATGGACTTACAGTATTATTATTATGGACTTATAGTACTTGCACCGGTACCTACTGCACCTGTGGTGCATTTTTCTATTAACCCTTTTAACGCCGCCAAGCATATTGTTTGGCTTACAGTACTCACTACTACAAAATACTAATTAAAAGCCTGAGCCTGAAGGACCTAGCACTACAAATTACTACTTGTGGCTAGGTTACTTCCATTGTTACTGGTACAGAGAACAATAAAGCCATGCATTCATAGTGCCACAGCACTGTATGGTACATTGTCTTTGCTGTTGTATTTTATGGCCTCAGAGAACAATACGGTCATGTCCTCTTACAAGGGACAGCACTGATTACTACATTTTACTAGCACTAGCACTGATTACATGTACATTTTACGACATGTACATGTACATGTAGTAATTTGTAGGGTTAAAATATGGTGCTATAGTTTGTGTACATTCGGTTGAAAGCTGAGTGCCATAATGTGTCTCTTGTTCATGGATGATCTCTCCATTTTCTGTTTGTTTTTCATCATCCTTAGGTTCACTATTTCCATGATGATCTTCCTACTTGAGTATTGTAGTTATGATCTCTGTAGCATCATGCATCGGAAAAGTCCAAACACTAATCAATACATCACACCATTGCTCTTCCTGACAAGAAAAGGTAAGATTCTTGTATGGCTCACTTTAAATTTAATATTCACAGAGAGGGAATTCCCAAGCTGAAAGCGTGACAAAGAAATGGGCATAACTTTCCTTTGAAGATTGGTACATGTACATGGATACATGTAGCTTAGATGAAACAACAGTGTAACATTATTTTTAGTAATTCAATATGAGTTATCTTTCTCAAATGTTTAGTTGGTAACCCTTCTCCCCATTGGCTCCTGCTCCTTGACTTGGTTTAAGTCCTATTTGACCATTTTTGATTTGAGTTAAAGCCTATTTGACAAGAGTAAAATCCCTCTTGACTTACATGTACGTGAAATCGTATTTGACTTGGGTTAAGTTCTGTTGGACTTGAGTTAAGATGGTTTTGGTTCGAGTTAAATCCTTCACTTATGTGTTGGCTAAATCCTGCATTTATTTGACTTGGGATGTTAATCCATTTTGATTTGAGCTAATATTTCACTAATCTTTTGACTTGGTTTAAATACTACTTGACTTGGGTTAAATTATATTTTGATGGGTATACAGGCTTCGATCTTTACAGCGGCCACTGCCGTGATGCCCCGGTGAATTGCCGTGATGCCCTTTAAAAACAGCAAGTACCTTTCGGCCAGTTGGCCGATGTGCCCCTCTTCAACGATCACTAGGCGCCTACACGTATTTTAAGTTGTATTCAACTTTCTAGTTACCATTTAGCGCTAGCGTTTCTGTCAACGGCTGGCCAGCCACACCAAGCACAATTTTTTTCACAGAGGTTTTGCATGGCCCCGTATATAATATGGTATATCAACCGCATCAACGTAGTTGAGTCGTGTGATTCTAAAAATGTGGCACCAGACTATGATTTTCATAATACAGTGTTGCTTTTATGGCATCATGAAAAGTTATAAGACACAACACCAAATGGTACATTAAAGTTTGTACAGTATTATTTATTTTTACTTGTTACAATTCACGCAGTGCCACTGCTCAGAATTTGAACAGAAACAATGAAAATTGCAGCCTGTTGAAAGTTCAAGACCATGTTGAAATTGAAGGAAAGTCTGTTAAAGTCACCAACAAGTAAAAAATTCAAAATGGCCTTGGTGCCTTTTCAGTTGGCCTTGGTGCCCTTTGGTGTTTGGGAGCATTCAAGGCCAAGTGGCCTTGACCCTCTAAAGCTTAAGGTTGAAGCCTGGGTATAGATAGAAAGCACAAGGTAGGGTCTCTGTCCTTGTCAGGCAGACCATGGATAATATATGTAAATGGTTCATAACTGTACATGTACAGGAAGCCAGACAAAAGGTCCCAGTCAGGCCAGTGTTCCTCATCTTTTTTTTTTCAATTATTCCCACCTGTTGATAATTCTATGAACCTTTAGCACACTCTAATCAGAGATACAGGATTGTCAACCACACTTTGACCCCCCTTATCGTGCTTACCTCAGTAATTTTCTGTTTCAGCTGCAATATTCCGTAAACAAACGGAGAAACCTTTGCAAAAATTGCCCATGCCCTAAACTGCACATGCATAAATGTGGACATCTGACCCACGTACATGGAAGAAAAATAAACATGCTTTACTGTCCTGTACCAGTACCGGTATTGTACTGAAGTTAAACTAAACCAAGCAATGGAGCCTGCTGGGCATGTGCATACTGTAGACATATGGTAGCTGTCTTTAGTTAATGGTTGGATGTAATTTCCTTACAGGTCTCATCCATGTGCAGGTGGTTCTGGATAACGGTCAGGCATTTGGGATGTTGAGCAATTATCACATTCCTTTGAAGGAATGGGTGCGGCTGGTCTACAAACAAGATGGCAGCAGGGTTAGAAGTAACTCCTTCAATTCTAAAGATGGATCTAACCTCCACAATTTCTTCTAGTTCTGCCAACTAACCATTTTTATTCGCAAACTCGTTTTTACATACCGAAAGGCACATTAGAAAGAACACAAAAAAGATCCAGAAAAAGAAATTTGACTTGACTATTTGCTCCGGACTATTTTGATCTGTGGTAGAAAATTACAAGGAGTCACATGCAGCAGTCATCATAATAACATTACAAGTAATGACAAACTCATTAAAATATGTCCATGTATCTTTGCAGCATTTTACAATCTTCTCTTTGGTACAATTACAGTGGACATTGTCTGTGAGCAGTGGTCGTAACTTCACCAATGTCATCGTGAGTGGAAGTGTGTTTCCCAAACCTGTACATTATGAAGAGACTGAGGGCCTTATCCATCTAGGTGGAAGTAATGCCTGTAAAGCATTCAAAGGATTTATAGCGGATACATGGCTGTGGAGGACCACAGCGACTAGTAGGGTGAGTAAGACAGGTCTACATAAACAAACTGAATGGGTGAGTCAATTGGCTCTCAGTAATTTGGACTCAAACCCTCCTTTAGCCCTCAAAATCTGATTGGAGGTTTGGAAGATTTGGTAAGATTGAGAATTGCAGCCTGTAATGTTTGGCATGGGGCTTGATGCTGGATGAAAGGGTCAGGGGTAGGGTTAGGCTTGAGTTGCCCAAATTGAAGATTCTCCAGTGATTCAGGAAGATTGCTACTTACATGTACTTGTACTTTCCTGCAAGATGGCTGGGGACTTCAGCCATTCTGAACACCCTACATGTAGTTCTCACAAAGTTACTTCCTGATAAGAATTTCCAGTGTTACTAATGACTTGGCAACTTCTGTAACACAAGTTCATGCACATTTAAGTGTGTATTTTGTATTCCTTTGTTTTCATTTAGTTAAAAAAACCAACATAGAAGAACCTTTTTTTTCTTGCACACCTGTTCAACCTGATTTTCTGATGATAGTTTCCCTGAATGGTCCATTTCATTTTGCAGCAGATAATCCTAACCCAAAGAGCCTCTGCGTATGTAAAAAAACAAACTGTTTTCACATTGAAAACCTTGCTTGAACCGTCGAAATTCAAACCAGGTCTATGTGAAGTCTGCATTACATGTACGTAAACAGATGCATCTGTTTTGTTTATACATGATGAGTACGCATGTACATGTAGCACAGGGCATTCCACACCTGTAAATGTACAGCCTATTTATTCATCAAGTGCAGCTGTCCCTACAAGTAGTCTCCTCTCAGAATGGAAAGCATGTTTACAAATAGAGCAGGTGGCTTGTAAAGCACTCAGACTATGCCTCTTTTTTTCCAGAGCCATTAGCTCCACGGTCTTATTAATTTAAAAATGCATCAGAGAGGCAGTGCATTGAAGTATGCCTTGATTTTTGTACGCTCTAGTAAAATGTCAACAAAGTGTGGGTGTTTGGTGAGTGTGATAGTTCATGGAAGGATAAAATCAACATTTTAGTCAGATGGTTTGCAAACAAACAATGCTGCTGTTTGACTGCTGTCCAGACACAAAGTTAACTAACCTCACAGTTGACACAACTGACTCACAGTAACTGATGGGAGTGAGGTACCATACATGTAATTTCCTATCAAATTTGTGGTGTGGACATGGTGGAATTTATAATGATAGTACATGTACATAGTGCATGGTATTTCACAGTACTATTATTATTATGCGTGCACATTGGGGTGACATCATCTGAACATTCCTGAAACCATCTCAGCTCCCTGAGGAGTATACTCAGTACTTCAGGTAGCCTGATGCTACCATATCAGGCACAAATGACTAAACATAACCATTACCCGTTTACACCTGGGCAGAGAGAGGCACATAGGGGTAAAGTGACTTGCCCAAGATCACAACATGCTGCCACCAGCTGGATTTGAACCCCTGACCAGTATGATCAGAAGCTACAAACCCTAACCACTAAGCCGCATGTCTCC